ATATTTGACTTTTTGTTTTTTTGAAAATGTTTTAGAACATGTTCATTGTGTTAATATGCCATACATTTTTTACTTAAATACTCATTTCATGTAAGTATGCCTGTGGTTGCAAAGTTTGTGGTTTAAGATTAATAATACAGGTGATTGTAGCATGGTCAAAATTTTGTTTTGTCTCTCCTGTAAAGTTTGTTAAAAGCCACTTACGCCCTTCTGCCTCCAAGCCCTTACTCCTCCATCGAGTCCAGACCAAACTTCCCTACTAAAAAATGTTGTGGGCGGGGTTCGGCTTGGCATCCAGGCTACGTCAACTCACACACTTCTCCCAAAATACATTAAAGGGTTAGTTCACCCAAAAGTGAAAAGTAAGTAATTAATTACTCATCCCATGCCGCACCAGCCCCGTAAGACCTTCGTTCATCTTCGGAACACAAATGAAGATAGTTTTGATTAAATTTGAGAGGTGGATCACTGCTACATAGGCTGCCTAAGAGATTGAAACTTGACGGCCCAGAAAGTCATGAAGAAAATGTTTAAATATTTCATGTGACAACAGTGGCTCAACTATAAGTTTATCAAGCGACGAGAATACTTTTTGTGCTCTAAAAAACAACAAAAATAACGACTTTATGTGACTATTCCTTTTCTTCCTTCTGGGCCTGAGACGAGAGTTCAAGAGATTTCCATGTCGCATGCGCGAGAACTACATTATTTTTCTACTACTTCTTGTGCGTTTGCGTCAATCCGTGTAGAAATATGTTGTAAAATTATGATTATTTTGAATACATTGTGGGAAAAAATTATTTGATACCCTGCTGATTTTGTAAGTTTACACACTTACAAAGAAATTAAGGGTCTATCATTTTTATGGTAGGTTTATTTTAAAGGATAGAGACAGAATATCAACCAAAAAAATCCAGAAAAAAACACATTATCTATAGGTTATGAATTGATTTGCATTGCAGTGAGTGAAATAACTATTTGATCCCCAAGCAAAACATTATTTAGTACTTATACTACAGGGCTGTTGTTGAATGCTTGATTCTGATGGTTGAGAACGTTCTAAAGGTGTGCAATTATTTTCAAGGAAATGCTTAAGTAGTGGAAATGCTAATGGCTTAAGTAGTTTCAGGCAGGTTTGACCGCATTACAGTTCCATATCACTGCGCGTAGTTAACTGTAATAACGGAAAATAGGATACAATTCATAACAATAGGAGGGAGAGCGAGAAACCCTTGTTGGCAAAACCACTCCAAAACCTTAATGTGCTGCTTCTTGAGCCAATCCTTTGTTGCCTAGACAGGCGGTATGTTTTGGGTCATTGTCATGCTGGAAGGCCCATCCACGACCCATCTTCAGTGTTCTGGTTGAAGGAAGGAGGTTCTCGTCCGCCCCTCAATACTGTGAAGTCGTCCTGTACCCTTAGAAGAGTAACAGCTCTAGAGCATAATGTTTCCACCTCCGTGCTTGACTGTATAGGGATGGTGTTCTTGGGGTCATAGTCAGCATTTCTCTCTCTCCTCGCACAGCGAGTTGAGTTGATGCCAAAGAGCTCCATTTTGGTCTCATCTGACATCAGCACTTCCTCAGAAGCCTTCTCTGAATCATTAGATGTTCATTGGCAAACTTCAGACGGGCCTGTACATGAGCCTTTTTGAGCAGGGGGACCTTGCGTAGTGTGTTACTGGTTGCTTGCTTGGTGACTGTTAGTCCCAACTGCCTTGAGATCATTAACAAGCTCCTCCCGTGTAGTTCTGGGCTGATCCCTCATCTTTCTCGTGGTCATCCTTACCCCACGAGACGGGGGTAAGGCTATTCAGTTTAGCCTTACTTAGTAAAGCGAGTCAGTTTACCAATGATCATTCATTGTTGTTGTTGTGGATCAATTAATGTTGCGGATCAGTGAAGCACATCATTAATAACTACAACTGGGATTGTCATAAACATATAATAAAGAGAATACTATTGTAATAAATCATTGTGTATTATTTGGGTTTAGTTGCCGTGTTTCAGCATGTGAAGAGCGCATGTGCATTCACAACAGTAGTTACACATTCTGACTAGCATGTAACTTTGTTCAAGTTGCAGATACAAGTTGTAATATGATTATGTTGTATAAATATCTGTTTAATCTCATATAGGATGTGTTTGGTCTCGAAAAGCAATGTTGTTATTTAAAAAAAAGTGATATTAATTTAGGATGTTTCTTTAAAAAAAAAAAAAAGCGATGCATTATTAATAATTACTTGCACTTTTTGGTTTAATTAAAATCAAATCAGAGGCCATTCCATTTTATTTATCCATGGCCCATGCATTTCGATAAGTAAAGTCGTCCAATGACTTGCCTTATTTTATTTATTTGTAAGGCAATAAATTTAAAAAAACTTTAATAAAGAAAGTTCACCATAGGAGTGTAAAATTAATTTTAAAACTTACACTTGTTTATATTAGACTACTACCGTGGGACATAACATTTAAAGGGTTAGTTCACCCAAAAATGAAAATTAAGTCATTAATTACTCACCCTCATGCTGTACCAACCCCGTAAGACCTTCGTTCATCTTTGGAACACAAATGAAGATATTTTTGATTAATTTTGAGAGCTGTATAACTACCACATTGGCTCCTAAGGGACTGACTCTTGACGGCCCAGAAAGTCAATGAAGAAAATGTTTAAATATCCCAAGTGACTACCGTGGCTCAACTATATGTTTATCAAGCGACGAGAATACTTTTTGTGCGAAAAAACAAACAAAAATAACGAGTTTATTCGACTATTCCTTTTCTTCCTTGTAGGCCAGAAACGAGACTTCCTTAGATTTCCACGACGCATGCGCGAGAATTGCTATCTTTTTCAACTACTTCAGTTCAGTTCTCGCGCATGCGTCGTGGAAATCTAAGGAACTCTCGTTTCTGGCCTCGTTTCTGGCCAAATTTGCCCAGTGGCCTCTGTCCATCATGGCCTCCTAATCATCCCCATATACACCAATTGGCTTCATCACTGTCTCCTCTCCACCAGTAAGCTGGTGTGTGGTGAGCGTTCTGGCGCAATATGGCTGCCGTCGCATCATCCAGGTGGATGCTGCACATTGGTGGTGGTTGAGGAGATCCCCCCCTTCTATGTGAAGCGCTTTGAGTGTCCAGAAAAGCGCTATATAAATGTAACGAATTATTATTATTATTATTATTATTAAGAAACCCTCCTCCTTATATCCACATGCTTTGGGCAGTTCCGGATACACAGCCCGATGTATATAAACAGTCGTTTCAGTGTTTGTTTGAATGAATGAATGAATGAATGAATTTATATAGTGATACAGTACTGTAGCCTGGTTCAACCAGACTCTAGTTCATTTCATTTGCACATAGAGTCTGGAACCGCTCCATTGAAAAACGTTTCCTTCCTTGTAGGCGGGTTCACTATTAAAGTTCAAATCTATTGGATCTGCCCAAAGTCACTCACGATCTGCCATAGCCAATCGCTAACGGGGTGTCGTGAGTGACGTATGTCACGCGCCGAAATGGCTGGAAACAACAAGTCCGAATGATCAGAGGATTATGTTTACAATAGGATTTCAGTCAACGAGCGCCGCAGGTTTTGTTAATCTAGGAACACGAAGGACAGTGATATATTCATTCAACGGTGGAAGCTGTGTCTAATCATTACAAATACGCCGCTGTGGTCGTTTCTGATCTGCCGCAAATGCTGTAGCAGCAACAGTGAATGATCAGTCTGTCTCTATCTGCAGATGTGTAATAAACAACAATTTTTCATATTACGTCTTATTGTTTCTTAATTACCTTAATTATCGTCTTCAAAGTATGTGTTTGTACATTTTTATGTTGCATTTATTTTTTTTAGTAAAACAAATCAACCATTGTCATCTAAAACTGAAAATCAAATATCTTCAAAGTATGGGTTTTCACATTTTTTTTATGACAATTATTTTTTTTTAAATCACAACCAATTTGTATGATTTACAACATGTAAAACTGACACACCAACCTCCTGCAACAGTGCACAAAGGGGCTCAAAATGTTCTACTCATCACAAGAATCAGTAAATATACAGTTGGGAATATGAGCGACTGACATAACCCTGAGCGGATCTTCAACAACAGTTTAGCAGCCAGGACTCGGGGCTTCCGAACACCAGGCTAAACCGTCCGTCCAAAATGTCACGGTCATCGTGCACGAGCTGCCCAGCACAAACTTCCAAACTTTCTGCCTCCTTCACTTGGTCCTCAGTTGTGCAACAAGAGGTGAGACGATAACAATCCGGCTTTAAATTCTGTATATTCGGCAGTTTCTTTTCCAACAACGGACCGAATAGCTTTTCTCACGTCTTTCTCCGCTGCCATTACTGAACTGAAACTGACGCGCTTACATCAACGTCATCGTTCTCAGCCACTCCCTCTATTCGCTGATTGGTCCTACAAAAAATTGATTTCTGGAAACCTAAGGATATGGAGCGATCCCAGACGTAGTACAGAAGTAAAATGAAATTGAGCGGAAGTGCGTAGGAGGGCGCAGCCAGGCTAACAGTACTGTGCACCCAAAGCACTTTAGAATCGGGGTCTCCTCAACCACCACTGCCAGTCCACTCACAACACATCATTTGTATACACCATCATGTATATTATTAACAGTGTGAAACATGAAGCAAGATAACCCAGTGTTCCATTTACCTAGGGTTTAGAATGACCCAGGGTCAACTATTTCAAGTGTGAAAAGCCCTTTTTTATGTAAATCTTCAAAATAAGATAAACAAGACCACTACAAAATTATGTATTTTATATACAAACTATGTATTTTTTTAAATTTAAAAATGATGAGACTGTAGAGCCTAGAGATTTTGAGACGTGTGTGTCTGTTGTTATTAAAATGTTGTTTTATGATTGTTTTGGTTTGTTTAGGCAGATAATAGTGTTGCAGAAGTTCACACAAGTCAAAAAAACACTGGCGTAACTCATGATGTCTCTCTGTCTATCTGATTCTTTCAGTAAGAACAGGCTGTCTTCCACCATGAACCCGGTGTACAGCCCAGTGCAACCGGGAACCCCGTACGGAAACCCGAAGAATATGGCATACACAGGTATGTAATTAGACAATCTCACGTATTTAAAAATATAACATGCTTTATTAATTCATGTCTGTGATCTTACTTTATCATTGCATGCTGGATTGTTTACATAATCTTGACTATGAAAAGACTTTTCTGCTGATGTAACCCAGACCTTAAATAATAATAATAGCCAATAATATCTACTAATGAGGTTTCATCCTGAAATAAATCAATAGTTAACAGTGCAGTGAGTGATTTATGAGAAATGCTGTTGAAAGTGGATTGGACAGAGCACAATGAAACACTTCATAAGTAGGGGGTGTGTCCACTCATGATGGGGTAGGAGAGAGAGTGAGCAGGGAGATTTGAAGAAAGACTGTAGAAAGAGAGGTGAGTGAGAGACATTACAAAAGAGAAGAATTTCATTAGAAAAAGAAGGGTTATGATCAGCCAAGGACCTTTGTCCTTTCCAGTGCTAGAAAGCTAGACAGTCCCTCCAGAAAAACGCGATTATGCGATCGCTGAATTCAATGCAAAATCAGCCAAAGTCCGCATATTTATGCGGGGGCCGCATTTTTTCAAATACGCCGCACTTTCGCCGCATAAATTGCCAATTTCCTTGCAAAATATGCGGGGTTTGCATAATTTCATAATCCTCGCATTTTCGTTGCAAAAAAAAGTCACGTGTATTTTAGTAGAAAGTTAAAAAATGTTCCGTTTGCTTCACACAAGAGCAGCCATTTCCCTCTGTTTCCATGGGAACGTTATGAAGTGACGCAATTACGCGACGCCGGACAGACTCACGGAGGCGATTGACATCTCACAAATCGAACTCGTATAACTGTCTGTCACACGTTCTACCGTCACATCGTTACTTAATAAACAACATAAGATAAAAGAAGCAGCATCAAACAGAAATTACCCGCACACATGGGGTGTTTGAGGCGCACATATAACACTGCAGAGAGTTCAACAGGAGCGCGCAGCTCTTAAAGGGGCCACACCTTATTTACACTCGTTACAGTCTGAATGTCACAGACTAGAAGGACACAGATGGATGAGGGTAACCAGATTTATTGACACAGAGGATATGGTAGACAGCAGGTGAGTAGATAATGAATGAAGTTCAGTAATCGATCGGGAAACAGTCTGATGCAGGATATCTTATCTTGAGCAGGGTTGGAAGATGGAGAGCTGAGGCAGCGGACGGATGAGCAGCGGGTGACCGGGGACCAGGAGCGGAGAAGGAGCAGACAGGACGACAGTAAGCAGGTAAGTAGATCTCAAAACCAGGGTTTAGAGTAGCGGGAGTCTGTAGCCGGTGTGTCGACGAGACCAGACGGTGAGTGACTGTGAGGAGTGAGTTTATAAAGGGAGGATGATTGGGACGGTGATTGATGTGGGCAGGTGACGGTGATTAGAAGGCTGGGGAGCTGGAACGAGTGGGCGGAGTGAAGGTGTCTGGTGCTGACGCAGATGGATCCGTGACAGTACCCCCCCCCCCACGGCCAGCTCCAGCTGGCAGACGGGACCGACGACGGGGACGACCACGGCCCCGGGGCGCTGGACGATCTGGGTGGGTGGTGTGAAAGTCCTGGAGTAAGGAGGGGTCCAGAATGTCCTCCCGGTTGACCCAACATCTCTCCTCAGCACCGAATCCCTCCCAGTCCACGAGATACTCCAAGCGGCCGCCCCGTCGTCGGGAGTCGAGGATCTCATGGACTCGATAGATGTTATCGTCTTCAGGATCTGCAGGAGGAGGGGGCACCTCCGCAGCACCAGACTCTGGGGAAGAAGGAGAGAGAGGGTTAGTGTAGGGCTTCAGCAAGGAGACGTGGAAGGTGGGTGCGATGCGGTAGTGAGCGGGAAGGACCAGCCGGTAGGTGACGGGGTTGATCTGCCTCTGTATCGCGAAAGGTCCGATGTATCTGGGACTCAGCTTCCGACAGGGCTGTCGGAGACGGATGTCCCGGGTGGAGAGCCAGACCAGTTGTCCGGGAAGGTAGTGAGGGGTGTCGGAACGGCGTAGGTTGGCCTGGTTCTGGTGTCTCCGAACAGCCCGCTGGAGGTGAGTATGAGCTGAGTCCCAGACTCTCTCGCTCGTCTGGAACCAATGGTGGACTGCTGGGACGTCTGATGGTTCTCCTGACCAGGGGAAGAGTGGAGGTTGGTAGCCGAGTATGCACTGGAATGGGGTGAGTCCGGTGGTGGTTTGTCGGAGAGAGTTCTGTGCATACTCGGCCCAGGGCAGGTAACGACTCCAACAGTCCTGATGATCGTGGCAGTATGACCGCAGGTATCTCCCTATCTCCTGGATCTTCCGCTCAGTCTGGCCGTTTGACTGGGGATGATAACCCGAAGTGAGGCTGACGGTCACTCCCAGAAGGTTGAAGAAAGCCCTCCAGACACGGGAGATGAATTGGGGTCCTCGATCGGAGACAACGTCCTCTGGGATACCGAAGTTCCGGAAAATGTGCTGGAACAGCGCCTCCGCTGTTTCAAAGGCTGTAGGAAGGCCAGGAAGGGGGATCAGCTTGCACGCTTTAGAGAAGCGGTCTACTACTACTAGGATGCAGGTGTGATTGTCAGACACGGGCAGGTCAGTGACGAAGTCCACTCCGAGGTGGGACCAGGGTCGAGTGGGTATGGGAAGAGGGACCAGTTTGCCTTCTGGGAGATGACGGGGAACTTTGGCCATGGCACAGACTGAGCATCCTTTGACGAACCGGGAGACATCCTGGGCCATACCCGGCCACCAGTAGCGCTGTTGGACGAGCGAGAGAGTGGACTGGCTGCCTGGGTGTCCAGAGCCCGGCGAGGAGTGAACTGAGTCCATGAGGGACAGGCGTAAACGAGTTGGGACATAGACCCGTCCCTCTGGACCTCCCGGCGGAGCAGGTTCAAGCTGTGTGGCCTCGGCGATGTGCTCATCCATGCTCCACTGAATGGGGCTGACCACCACGGCTGGAGGGAGAATGGTTTCGGACTCCACAGGAGGGACCTCGGGTTGGAACTGACGTGAGAGGGAGTCTGCTTTCACATTCTTATCTCCGGGGCGATAGGTGACTGAGAAATTGAAGCGTGTGAAGAACAGGGCCCAACGGGCTTGACGGGGATTGAGTCTCTTGGCCTCTCGGAGGTATTCAAGGTTACGGTGGTCCGTGATCACAGTAAAAGGGTGTTGGGCTCCCTCCAGCCAGTGCCGCCATTCCTCCAGCGCGAGTTTGATGGCCAGTAACTCCCGGTTGCCGATGTCATAATTTTGCTCCGCCGGGGACAGTTTCTTGGAGTAGAAGGCGCATGGGTGGAGTTGAGGTGGGTTCCCCTGCCGCTGAGAGAGGACCGCTCCTACCCCCGAGATGGATGCATCCACTTCGACGAGGAACGGTAAGGCTGGGTCCGGAAGAGCCAGGGTAGGAGCGGAGCTGAAGGCGGACTTCAGGTCTTGAAAAGCGCGGGTGGCTTGGTCGTTCCAGGATAGAGACTTGGCCCCACTCTTGAGAAGGTCGGTGAGGGAGGAGCTGAGGGGACTGAAGTTCTGGATGAACCGGCGGTAGAAATTGGCAAACCCCAGGAAGCGCTGAAGCTCCTTACGGGTGGTGGGTTGGGGCCAGTGGAGTACCGCTTCCACCTTCCTCTGGTCCATGGTGATACCGTGGGGAGTGATGATGTAACCGAGGAATTGGATGGTGCTTTGGTGGAATTCACATTTCTCCAGTTTGAGATAGAGGTGATAGTCTCGGAGCCGGGTGAGTACTGTTTGAACGTGATGGATATGAGAGGTCAGGTCGGGGGAGTAGATGAGGATATCGTCGATGTAAATGATGACAAACTGGTTGAGGAGATCGCGGAATATCTCATTCATGAAACCTTGGAAGATGGCGGGTGAGTTGGACAATCCGAAGGGCATCACGAGATATTCGTAGTGCCCCGCGGGGGTGATGAAGGCGGTCTTCCACTCATCTCCTTCCCGGATGCGGATGAGGTTGTAGGCACTACGAAGATCTAGCTTGGTGTAAATGGATGCCCCTCGGAGTTGTTCCAGGGCGGCTGGGACCAGAGGAAGAGGATAGCGGAATTTGACAGTAGCTTGATTGAGGGTACGGTAGTCGATGCAGGGGCGCAAGCCTCCATCCTTTTTCCCCACGAAGAAGAAGCTCGAAGCGGCAGGGGACACAGATGGTCGGATGAATCCGTGGTCGAGAGCCTCCTGGATATACTCCCCCATGGCCTTCTGTTCCGGGATGGACAGAGGGTAGATCTTACCCCGCGGTAGGACCGCCCCGGGCAGCAGATCGATCGCGCAGTCCCATGGCCGATGTGGAGGTAGGGTGGTCGCTTGGTGTTCATCGAAGACATCCTGGAACGCCCGGTAGGGAGAAGGAATCTCGGGAGGATGTCCAGCAGGTGGCCTATCCACGGAGGTGGTGGAGAGGGGAACGATCGGAGTGGTGGTATGAGCGGAGGTCCTCGTCACAGATGGCAGGCAGTGATGGAAGCAGTCCTCCCCCCACCGTAGGATCTCGCCGGTGGACCACTGGACATGCGGGGAGTGGGTCTCCAACCAGGGGCGCCCCAGGATGATCTCGGCCGTGGAGCCCTCCAGCACCAGGAAAGAGATCTCCTCCTTATGAAGCCAGCCGATCTCCAGCCCCAGGTCGGGACTACGATGTCCGACCCGGCCGCGCCCCAGAGGTTGACCGAGGATGGTTTGTACTTGCAGTTTGTGGGGAATGGATCGTTGCCTGGTTTGTAGCCGGTTTAAGGTGGACAGAGAGATGAAATTGGCCGCTGATCCGGAGTCGATCAGCGCCTGAACTGAAAGGGAACGGTTCAGATAAGTGAGAGTGGCAGCAGTACATTTCAAGGGGGAAATGGGTAGTGGTAGGTGGACTGTACTCACAGCGGGTCGGGGCGGACGAATGGGGCAGGTGGCGAGCAGGTGACCGGAGGCTCCACAGTATAGGCACAGACCGTTGGTGATGCGCCGATTTCTCTCGGACACTGGCAGTCGCGAGGTACCAATGTCC